TGAACAAACAATCCTATCCAAAACTTGCAAAATTAGCCAGATCAGAACACTGCATTTCGGCCTGTAGCCGTAGGAAAGGGTGTTCAGTTATGCTGGATGCACCATGAGTGCAAGACTGCGCTAAAGCCAGTGGATTTAATAATGTTCCTCCACAAACACACGTAGCAAAATCTTGGCGAGTAAAAGGTTTTTAAATTATAAATAAATATTAATCAAACCATATAATCATAATGTAGACCGAGTATACAGGCTAATGGTGGCATTATTATTTTAATATTCAGCTTCACCGCCGCCTTAATGCCATATTGTGAAGAGAAGTGGAGAAACAAAGTTTGCAGAGCCTTTATCTTAATTTTGTTATTGCCAAAATACCCATCATCATTTAGAGTTTATTTTAATTTGATTTGTTAAGCAAGATTTCTTTTCATTGGTGTGTTGGCCAATTTACAGGCTAAGTGCATGTACCTAGACCTATAGAGTGCTGAGATGTTACGATGTTACAGAGGACTTATTTTATTTCTTTGTTCCAACTTCCAAGTGGCCTATAGTCTATGTTTGTTACGAATAAATGATGTTAAAACATATAAATGACTCATTCTTGAAAAAAAGCATTAGAGCTGTGGGCATGAGCACATCTGAATAATGTCGGGCTGTAAACGGGTTCGGGCTTTATAAAGCTGTCAATCAAAATGAACCTGTAGGACTCGGGACCTATCGGGTATAATTTTTATGGCCCGATTACAGCTCTCTGCATTCCCGCTGCTGTTCCGCGGGAGCCGGCCAAATTTCTTACGGTGTGGGAGTAAATTTCTGAATAAATCGCGGGAGAGATGTGTGTGTGTGTGTGTGTGTGTGTGTGTGTTTGTGTAAGAGAGAGAGAGAGAGAGATCAAAAACGATCATGAAGAGCTACCGATCCAAAATTCAGAAATATGGGAAACCCATTTCCAAACACTATTCAATAAAGTAGAAACAGACACAAATCCTAAACAAAATCAAATAACAAACACTGGCAACACTAGAATCGACTATCAAGGATAATCAAAACCCAATAGACTTCCCCATCACTATAATGGAGCTTAAAGACAAAATTAAATCTGTTAAACCTAAAAAAGCATCTGGACCTGACGGAATATTAAACGAAATAATAAAACAAACCAGCCCTAAATTTCAAACAGCCATCCTAAAATTATTTAATCTAGTTCTGAGTGTTGGTCACTTCCCTGATATCTGGAATCAAGGATTGATAACACCCATTTTTAAAAATGGAGATAAATTTGACCCCAATAATTACAGAGGGATTTGTGTGAGCAGCAACCTGGGAAAGTTATTCTGTAGTTTAATAAATGCCCGACTACTGGACTTCATCACAACACAATGTCTTAAGCAGAAGTCAAATTGGATTTTTACCAAAATACCGCACATCTGACCACATTTACACACTGCACTCGCTAATTGAAAAACACGCTGTCCAAAATAAAGGTAAAATATACGCATGCTTCATTGACTTTAAAAAAGCTTTCGACTCAATTTAGCACAAAGGTTTACTTTATAAGCTGATTGAAAGTGAAATAGGAGGAAAAACATATGACCTTATTAAATCAATGCACACCGAAAGCAAATGTGGCATCAAAATTAGCACAAAAAGAACAAAATATCTTTCCCAGGAGCGTGGAGTGAGACAAGGCTGCTGCCTGAGCCCAACACTATTCAACATCTACATAAATGAGCTGGCGCTCAGTCTGGAGAGATCCACCGCTCCGGGTCTCGATCTCCATGACTCTCAGATCAAATGCCTGCTGTACGCAGACGACCTGCTGCTACTATCGCCAACCGAACAGGGCCTACAGCAGAACCTGCAGCTGCTGGACCAGTACTGCCAGACCTAGGCCCTGACCGTCAACCTAAACATAACCAAAATCATCACCTTCCAAAAAAGAGCCAGACCCCAGGGAACACAACACACATTCACACTAGGCACCAATCAGATAACACACACATCACAGTATAATTATTTAGGCCTGAACATCACCTCCACTGGAAACTTTAATCCTGCAGTAAATGAGCTTAGAGATAAAGCCTGCAGAGCCTCCTACGCCATCAAACGCCAATGCCCCATAGACATCCCTGTTCAGATCTGGCTGAAGATCCTAGAGTCAGTCATCGAGCCCATCGCCCTCTACGGCAGTGAGGTGTGGGGTCCACTGACAAACCCTGAACAAGATCTGGCCAAATGGGACAAACACCCGATAGAAACCCTGCACACAAAGCTGTGTAAGAACATCTTACACGTCCACCAGCACACAACAAACAACGGATGCAGAGCAGAATTAGGCAAATACCCTCTGATAATAAAGATACAGAAAAGAGCTGTCCAATTCTGCGACCAGGACTCATACCACTATAAAGCCCTGCAAGACAGAGAATTGAGCAGAAGAGCAGACCCACTCTCCCAGCTGGCCCAGAGCTTCAGGGTCTCTGAGACGTCTCCTAAGGAGCTGAACACAGTCCTGCCACTGACTCAGATCACACACCAGATCAAGAACAGCTACACACACCACTGGGACACTCAAACACAACTGCAAAGCAAAATGCAGTGTTATCTGGCCCTGAAGAGACAATATACTCTGGCAGACTATCTTCACACAGTGACAAGATAAAGGTCTAAGGAACACCCTGAGCAGATACAGACTCAGCGGACACCAGCTGGCTATAGAGACAGGGCGGCACAAACAAACATGGCTGCCGGTGGAGGAGCGGCTGTGCCCACACTGCCCTTAGCAGCCGATTGAAACAGAACTGCACTTCCTTACGGAGTGCACAAAATACTCAGAGATCCGGGAGAAGTTCTACCCGAAACACACACACACACAAACTTTGAGTCCCTGTCAAACAATGAGAAACTGCCAATCCTACTGGGGGAGTGTGTGTGCTGCTGTGTGTTAGCAGCTCAGTTTGTGCACTCCTGCCACCGTCTGAGGAACCCACAATGATCCGCTCCACTGTCTCTAACACACAACTGGAACTCTTTACTTGTGGACTTACTGTTGATATTATCGTCATCACTTTCATCTTTGGCAATACGAATGTACAGTTATTTGTCATGCCAATAAAGCACCTAAAATGTGAAATGTGAGAGAGAGAGAGAGAGAGGTGCTGTGCATTGCTTGGCGCTCTCTCTCTCTCTCTCTCCATCTCTCTCTCTGACCGGGAGCCTAAGGTCGCATAGAAGGTATTCAGTTTCTGAATGGTTTAGGCTCAAGCCAACAGTTTGGTGACGCTGTCTGAGCCTTACGTCACAATTCTTTTTATTACGCCGGTAATACCGGAGACCGGTAAATTCAGGTGAGCGAGTGTTTTGAATTAGTTGAACTACTCAGTTTAGTGAATAGTGTTAAAATGGCAAAGAAATATCAGTATAGGCTTTGCTAAATGGCTGGTCAAATGAAGGTCTTTTTTTAAGAAACTATAAACAGACATGCATGCTGCTGTTGCATTGATGAGAGACAACAAATTGCATATATGTTGACTAATTTAAAGTAGGCTGCTATTGGCTAGGCTTACAGCATGTATTTTTTAAAAAAAGTTTATTAAAAAAAATGTAGCCAATATGTATCACAGAATTTTGTGATGCAAAAATTACAGTGGAGCATAATTAAATCCTCATCTTCCGTGAAGCGAAACAAACACTGCACAGTTGTAGAGCAGATGGGGATGCATGAATTCAGATATTTTTGTCAGACATAAAATATTTTTTAAAGAAATTTCGTTTGGCATAATTCGGTACATCACATTCAAATTGTATCTTAGTTTTAATGTATTTTTTGTTGATCTGTTACCTAGAAAATAAACAAGAGCAAACATTTGAGGTGAAGTCTAATTCCGCAGAGTCCGCTGCCAAAGCACAAAATGGTTTAAAACAATTATAATATAAATAAAATAAAAGTGTAATATTCAGTTTCAAATAGTGTATTTTTGTTGATTATATGATCAAAAATAAAAGAGTACCCTATATTAAATTGTTTTCACTGTTGTGAAAAAATTCATTGATCCGGCATTAAATTAAATCGTTTGAACATTTTAATATTTTAGACAAAGTAGTTAATAGTTTGCATAACTACTGATTGATCTTACCAACCCACGACCCACCCATAATTAAACATTATAAAGCCTACTTTTGGCTTACCTGACCCGAGTATTAACAGCTGCACCAGCGGATATAACGGAGATCTATTAACGGTCAGCAGCACCAGCGGATATAACAGAGATCTGTGTATTACAGGGTTTTATGCATCCTCAATATCAAGAGAGTGACTACATAAGGTAATGTGAACTGCAGACACTTGATTATTACTTCAATGTGAAAATTTGTGGACGCGTGTCACAGCGCAAAGCATAACTTATCCTTTAAATGTCCACGCTTTATCAGTCATTTATAAGGTCTATCAATTGAAAGGGTTAGCGACAATCAATTAATCATTGAGCGCAATTCCAGATCTACCAAAAAAAATCATGCTTAGACACAATACAATGTTCTAAAATGACCATCCCAGTACACAGACTTGAAGATCATAAAAAATCTAGTGATTTAAAAAAAACCATTCACGTTCAGCACCCAATAAACCTGACCAAACCAGACTTGAAAAATTTTGCAAGGAAGAATGGTCTAAAATGCCTTCAGCAAGAATTCAGGGACTTCTCCTTGTCTAAGAAGTGTTAACAGGCTTTTTTTTTCAGCAAGAGGTGGTTCTTCAAAATACTGATGTTATTATTCTGTTGGGATGCCAAGATTTTTGCACCTGTCAGTTTTTGTTATGATTTAAATTGCATCGCATCTGTTGATTAAATAGATGTTATGTCAGAACCAAAATGTTGCTTTTTCCATAGGGTTTATAATAAATCTAAATGAAATTGCTGCTTTGAATGGCCAGTATACTATGACTTGTATGTCTTTTGCAAAAACTATATATGCAGTGTGTACAAACATATCTGCGAACATACCTCCATTGCATCCAGAGAGAGATTACAGGAGATCTCAAACTTCTTCATCAGGAGATGTTCCTTGATGTTATAAATGCACACAAACTTTGACTTCCCACCTGTAAGGATCGATTCACCATCCGCTGAGTAGCACAAGGTGGTAAAAGACCTACAAATCAGTTTTAGAGGAAATTAGTCATTAAAGGCCATTTTAAATACACTAAGTTTCAGCACAATCAGACTACAATTTACTTGTTCTTTCAGGAAATGACAATGTAATTGCCAAACAATTCCAAATGCAAGAAGATTTAAATTCAAGAGCAGGTTCAGATCTCAGTCTGAGAAAATATGAATCAATAATGCAGCAAATGATGAAGTCTTGACAAAGAACAATTACACATACCAGGGTCTCTGCAGATATTATATGCTATATATTATATGATTATATGTCGAATTTAGGACTTTAAGACCTTTTTCAGCCCATTAAGTATTAAATTTAAGACCTATATCGCAATATCAAAAACATGCAACAGAAAATGCTAAATTAGAACTAGTTCATGTCATTCAAGATAATTGTTTTTAATAGTTTTTATAAAGATTTTTATAACCATTCAAGATTTTTTAAATATAATTTTTTAAATTTAAATAATGCATCACTTGCTTTTGTTCATAGATCAGACATTCCAATCTATCAAAGTTAAATATTAATGGCAACAGAACTTGGGTTGCTCTACAATTATATTTTTTATTATGGTAAGAATGAAAGCAAAAAAAAGTACACTTACTAAAAATACTGAGGCTTTCTATTTATTATTTTGCTTACCCAACAATTTACACATTACTGTCTGGCTAGATTCTGTCCTTTACTGATAAGCTGTAAAGGCAATGATGGTCCAACATTCTTGACCATTATGACCAATAAAGCCTAGAAATTGGGCATCAGTATATTGTAAACTGATAGGTTCATATATTCTTTTCCAGTTACAGTTGAAGTCAGAATTATTAGCCCCCGTGTTTATTTTTTTTATGGGGTGTTGGGGGCTAATAATTCTGGCTACAACTGTTGGTCGGTTTAGGGCAGGGATGGCAGCAGAGTTTTGCTCCAACATTAATCAAACACACCTGAACAATCTAAACAGTGTATTCAGGATCACTAGTAAGCTATAGTCAGGTGTGTTTGATTAGGATTGGAGCTAAAGCTTGGCTCTCAAAGAGTCGCCCATCCCTGGTTTAGGGGGACAAAATGATGTGTTTGTGCTTTGAATCTTATGTTAAAAAGAATAGAAGTTTATAGTCTATTTACAAAATGTCTGCTTACTTTCCCTTGGCAGATTGTTTAGCAGTGATCTTTTCAGACTCTTTGCGTCCCATTTGCAGGTCATGGCGGCCAGTGATAGAGCCAGTCTGTCTTCCAGTCTGAGGGTTCCAGAATGTGATTTCACCATCCAGAGAAGCAACTGCTAACTCCATACCATTAGGATGATATGTTACAGCAAGCCCTAAATATGAACAGGTGCAAGATATATTTAAAAAAAAAAAAAAAAAAATCACATAAATTTCTTTCCATTCCACTTTCACATAAACAAACATTTTGTAAACTTGCCATCAGAGGTGAGTTGCAACGTCTCTTTGGTCTGCCAGCTGTCCAACATGTCCCATAGCCGGACAGTTTTGTCCCATGACACACTAGCAAGAACAGACTGGACTGGACTGAAGCACAAGTTACTGACAGGACCCTCATGACCACTAAGCACCTGTTCCATCAGAAATGAGTAAAGGAAATAAAAAGCACAATAGTTGGTACAAAAACATTAATAGTGCATCAAAAAACCTAGGTTAAACAGAAAACCCAAGACATATTAAAATATGATGATTCGTCAAGGTGAAAAGCTGTTTTACAATATCAAAAACAGAAGGAAGAAAATAAGCAAAGAAAATGCCACCAATATTGTTAAAATATATTGCAGGGCTCACAGTGGCACAGTGGTTCAATGTTGTTTTGTTTATTTGAAGTTTTTTTTATTTCTTTGATGTAGTTAAATACTACTGCTCTGTATCTCCAGCATGAGCTGTACAGCATAAGTGTTTTATTATATTAAGCATCTGTTGGTTTTGCTTTCATACATTTTTTTCTTAAAGAATATATTTGTTTTCTCTAGGGTAAAATTGTCTTTGAATGTTAATTACAAGGTTATCTGCACTTTGCAGTTTTAGTCAGGGGTGTAAACTGAGTCAGAGGAAGGATTAATAAATTTAGAAGGTTTTGATATGCGTGCAGAAGACTTTATTTGGATAATTAGGAAAGGAGGTGACTAGCTCCCCTCACTAGAATAGGAATTAGCAGTATAAATAATTAGATATCAGCAGTGTCCATTCTCCTCTTCTGAAGACCAATAAGAGTAAAGACATTCAACTCAAGCAGCATGACTCCACTGAGCACAGACACCCACATGCCACTATTGTAGGCTTTTCTTTTTACTCTTTAAACAATGTGTTTGCAGTAAATTCTGTCATTACATGTCCACGGACACACAGCACATGCAGTGTCTACTACACGGTGACTACACGATTTTCTTCAATTTGGGTGGACCAGTCCTAAGAAATAGGTGTATGTGAATTTTATTATAGATCACATTTGATTCCCTAAACTTTAAAAAATAATTCATTCATAATAATTAGAACACTGTGATCTCGTATCAGTAAACTGTACTTACAGGTCTACAGGATCTGATGGATAAAATTTTTTCAAAGTTAAATGTGTGGTTTATAAGGTTAGTAATATATGTTGTTTGCTAAGATACGCGCATAACATTTGCCATGATGGGAATACTGAGAGATTTTATTGACAAACTCAACTAGACTAAAGTGTTAGTAGAAATACAAAAGGCTAGAAACTCAAATTAAAACAGGCCATTATACACTCCTATTATATACCCAAAAGTTCAATTTCAAGGCCATTATTACATTAATTAGCAAAATAATAACCAATGTAAGATAACACAGTGTTATAAAAGTACATAAAAAAAACTAATAAAAATGTCTAGTGAACTTAAACATTAGAGATGCTCCGATCAGCATTTTTTGGGCCAATCACCGATTACCGATCGCCGAAATCATGATCTGCCGATTGCAGATCACTGCCAATCACAGAATGGCAGGGGAATGGCCATTCAATTAGGGCTGTGACAGTCACCATGACAACCGTGTGACCGCGGTGGTCAGTTGCCATTAGGTCCATTGCCACCGGCTGTAGTATGTGACGTCACGCACTTTAAAACACAAATTACCGTTATGTTGCCAAGTATTAGGCTACATTTCTGTTAGAATATAACATTAGGCGCAATTCAGCAAGTTCAACCATGAATCTTGTTAGAAAACGAAATCTTACATGTGGGAATATCTTGGATTCATGCTGACCGAGACAGGTGAATCAATTATTTAATTAAGCTTTTTGTAGGTTTTTTTTAAAGTGTTAAATTGTGGTTTAATATTCACTGCTTAGAGTCCAAACATTTAAGAGCAAATCCATCGATGCGCAGCTCCACAGGTCCCGAACCATGCAAGCTAGTGGCGATTGATGGCAGTGAGGGAAAAAAATCAGCCTATAATTAACTCCTGTCTTATAAACGCAAAAGCCCAGCTAGTCAGTCAGATATCACAGAGGCATTTCCAGAAATGGCCAGATACAAAAGAGAAAGTGATAAATAGAAGACATTGATGAGAAATGGAGCAACATATTTGGTAAGTTAAGAACGCGCCGCTTCGCAGTGTAGAGAAACCTGCTTTCCGAGAAATGCGGGCAGCAGGACAGAAGCAAGAAACAGTATCTGTGCATTTGCGCTACAAGCACACAGTTTGAACATGTATTGCTGGAAACATTATAATCCCAATTAGGTCTTCACATAAAACGAACAAAGTCAACAAGTTCGTTTTTCTGACAAAGAATTTAAAATATGAATAGAAAACAAAAGGTGGAGAGAACCAACGCTTTTTTTTTAAAACATCTGACTTTGTAACTAGCAAGCTAATATTTTTGTACTTCTTATAATTATTACTATTTATACTATTCCCGATTAATAAAGTGCCATTTAGGCTATTTGTAAAGTTCTTAAAAATGTAAAGCTTAATTATTATTATACGGTCAGTTAAAGTTATTTAATATTAAACTACAATATTTAAAAGCAGTATTGTGTTGTTTTATTAACAAAAGTTCAAAATTAACGCGTAGGTTTGTACGGATGTTTTGATGAATATTTAATTAAGTTATAAGTTATTCCTTAATTTTTACATAAAAGGTAAATTATCTTAGGTATGCTACTTTATTTCTTGGTTGTACGGGAGGAAAATTTTTTCCAGTGATTAATGTTCTCTCCACTTAAATAAATAGATAAATAACTTGCGAAAAGGATGTAATAAAAAAATGTATGCTCTTTGTCTTAATCATTCTTCATAATCTGATTCATACATGCAATAAATCTATTGCGTTGACAAGAACATACCCTAAAACAAAGAGAGAGAAGAGTTAATAATATTAATATTATTACTATTAATGATCACAAACACAAACTGCGTTGTATGATAAACACCTTCACAATGTCGTGTCTACAATCTTTTCTGAATAACAGAAAATCCTTGCCGTCTCCCAAGCCAAGTTTTCATCTGTTTTTTTTTTTTCTTTCGTCTCGCTACAAACAATAAAATATCAGCGCCAGACCAGTGGTTTAAATTATATTTTACTCCTTATTTCTTTCCGTTTTATTTCAGTTTTATATTGCATATTTTTTAAAGAATATTATTCAGCCTACATGCATCGCATTTGAGAGGTTGATGCGGCAAATCCCCTTTACTCATGCATTATACCCATTTCATTTATGACACTGTAAACTTGATTCGCAGGCTGATCATCTTTAGACTCAAAAGGCATTTAAGTCTCATAATTTAAGACTGCTGCTGGGATGTTTCTTATTACAACTGTTAGCGATGTCAAAATGAAAGCAAACATTAAAAAGGGTTTTGCGTTTTATCAATTTTATAGTTTATTTTTAATAATAATGAAAATAATAAATTATAATATTAATTATAGTGTAGACTACTTTGCAGTGTCCAACAAAACATTTTTTTAGGTTACTCGATATTTACATTTAGTCATTTAGCAGATGCTTTTATCCAAAGCAACTTACAAATGAGGACAAGGGAGCAATTTACGCAACTACAAGAGCAACAATGAATAAGAGCTATAGGCAAGTTTCAGGTATGTAAAGAAGGTGTAAGAAGCAAAACATTACACATTTTTTTTTGTGGTAGTTAGTGGAGGAGCCAGAGAGGGAATTGGAGATTAGTAAGGAAAGTGGAGACTAAATAGTTGAGTTTTTAGTCGTTTTTTGAAGACAGCGAGTGACTCTGCCGTTCGGATGCAGTTAGGGATTTCATTCCACCAACTGGGCAGATTGAGCGCGAGAGTTTGGAAAAGTGATTTCTTCCCTCTTTGGGATGGAACCACTAGGCAACGTTCATTCACAGAACGCAAGTTTCTGGAGGGAATATAAATCTGGCTAGTAGAGAGTTGCAATAGTCCAGTCTGGAGAGAACAAGAGCTTGAACAAGGAATTGAGCTGCATATTCAGATAGGAATGGTTAGACCTTTCTGATGTTATAGAGTGCGAATCTGCACAATCGAGCAGTTCAAAAAATGTGGTCAGAGAAGTTTAGTTGGTCAACAATCGTTACTCCAAGGCTTTTCAGCATTTTGGATGCAGTAACGGTTGCCCCATCCATCTGGATTGAAAAGTTATGATGTAGAGTCGGGTTGGCAGAAACTTCAAGCATTTCTGTTTTCGTGAGGTTATGCTGAAGATGATCTCTCATCCAGTGTGAAATGTCTGACAGGCAGGCTGAGATGCGAGCCGTAACCGAGGGATCATCAAGATGAAAAATAGGGTATAGCTGGGTATCATCAGCATAGAAGTGGTAGGAAAATAAATGTTTCTGGATGACTGATCCTAAAGATGTTGTGTAGATGGAGAAGAGTAGTGGCCCAAGAACAGAGCCCTGTAGTACCCCAGTGTTTAGATGCTGTAGGTTGGACACCTCTCCAAGACACCCTGAATGACCTGCTAGAGAGCTAAGATCTGAACCACTAAATAATCGTGCCTGCAACGCCTAGTGACTCAAGCAGCTGACAAATCCAGCAAGATGAGGACTGATGATTTAGAGTCTGCTTTAGCCAGTCTGAGATCATCCACGACCGAGAGCAGGGCAGTCTCAGTTGAGTGGCCTTTCTTAAAGCCAAATTGCTTGTTGTCCTTGAGGTTGTTTTGAGTAAGAAAGTTTAGGACTTAATTGAACACAACTTTCTCCACAATCTTGGCCATGAATGGAAGCAGGGATACTGGTCTGTAGTTTTCAAGTAGCGTTTGATCCAGGTTGGGTTTCTTTAGCAGTGGGGTTACCCTAGCCTTCTTAAATAAAGTGGGGAATAAACCAGAGTCAAGAGATGTGTTAATTATGTGAGTCAGTGTTGGTATGACTGCAGGAGAAATGGCTTGCAATTGATAAGTGGGAATGGGATCAAGCGGACAGGTGGGTGTAGGTGGGTGTATGGGTAGATAGCTCTCTGAGTCAGAGGTGACCAAACTCGTGCTGAAAAAAAGAGATGAGTGTGTGTGGTGATGGTGGTGTATCTTGCCTGTTTGTTGTAGGTGCAGTAAATTGAGCACTGATTTTTGCAGTTTTGATGCAAAAGAAAGTAGCAAAGTCATCAGTAGTAAGTGTGGACGATGAGGGTGGAGGAGGAGGATAGAGGAGGGAGGAAAATGTTTTAAAAAGTAAGTGAGGATTGGTGGCATTGTTGATTTTCTGACAAAAGTATGTCTGTTTTGCAGAAGTAACATCAGTCGAAATAGATGACAGAAGTGTTTGGTATGAGGTATGAAGGATTTTTAGTTTTTCGCCAAATTCTTTCTGCAGCCCGAAGTTTTGAGGGAGAACATCAGAGAGCCAGGGTGCAGCACGACTGGCACGGGCTGGCCTGTATGTAAGAGGACATAAGTCTGTCTAGACATGATACTAGTGTGGAGCAGAGTGTCAGTGGCACTATTCGTATCAAGTGTAGAGATTTTGCAAGGAGGAGGAAGAGAGTCTGAAACAATGGTAGATAGTCTATTGGGTGAGAGAGAGTGTAGGTTTCTGCGAAAGGCAACTAGTGTTGAAGTGTGTGGCGGCTCTGGAGTAATGTGGATTTTGAGAGACAGAAGGAAATGATCCGATGTGTATAGTGGAGTTACTAGTGTTTGGTCAACGGTGCAATGTCGAGTGTAAATAAGGTCCAGCTGATTACCTGATTTGTGAGTAGCAGAAGTAGGTGCTCTTTTGAGGTCAAAAGAGGCAAGCTGAGTCAGGAAGTCAGTAGCTTGTGGTCTTTCAATGTGGATGTTGAAGTCACCTAGCACCAACAAGGGAGTGTCATAATCAGAAAATGATGAGAAAAGAACATCCAGTTTATCTCAGAAGTGACCTAATGTACCGGGTGGGTGGTAGATGTTAGCCACATTTATGTAGAAGGGGTGGACAATGGTGACTGCATGGAATTCAAAGGAGCTGATCTTTGCCAGGGACGGTCTCTGAGTAAATTTCCATTCTTTGGAAATCAGTAGTCCTGTCCCACCCCCTCTCCCTGTCTGATGAGGAGTGTGGGGAAAAAGAGAAATTAGCAGAAAGAGCTGCATGTGTAGCAGTGTCCTCCGGTCTCAACCAGGTCTTAGTTAGAGCCATGAGAATATTGTCAGAATGTGTAGCTATGGAGGTAATAAAATCTGTCTTGTTAACAGCAGATTGACAATTCCAGAGGCCCATGGAAAGAGAGAATTGTGAAATAGCAGATATCTGTATTGCACGAAGGTTGTGAGGATTACGCCTGCAGCATACCTCCCGTGCTTTGCGAGAGTTAGTAACAACAGGAATTAGTAAACACATAATAAAAGTGCAATGAAAACAATAATGAGTGCAAAGATAATGTAAAATAAATAAGTTACGTACTTAAGTGCTTTTTCGGTGTGTTTGCTCGGTGGAGTCGCGCAGACCTAATCCCTAACTGAAAAATGAATGTGAAAATGCAGTTGCGTCTCTGCTAAAATTAATTTAAAGTCAAATTTCTTTTGGGCCTTTTTCCCCTTTAGAGATCAAGAGAGTTGTATTTAAACAGGGTTCTTGTGTCATTTTAAAAGTAAAATTTAATACTTTTTAAAACTTTTTAAGACCTCAACAAATATCATTTAAGACCCAAAAATGTGATAATTTCTTTGGAAAAGGCTACTCAATTTAATGTTCTCGTTAGATTTAAATAAATTGTGCCTCACCACATTATGGATAACCCACAGTACTTGCCTTTTGGGTGTCTCGAACCCGTCAAGTAGATTTTGATTGACAGCTTTTAAAAAGCCCGAAACCCGTTTATAGCCTGACATTTTTCAAATGTGCACATGCACACAGCTCTTTTGTCTTTTTTTCATGAATGAGTCGTTTATATGCGTTAACAGTACTTATTCATAATATAGGCAACAGGCCAAGTTGGAAGAAAAAAAAAAAAAAAAAGCCCTCTGCAACATCTTAACAACTCAACACTCTAAATAGGCCTAGGTAAATACACTTAGCCTTTAAATTGGCCAACACACCAATAAAAATAAAAGTCTTTCTTAGCAAATTAATTAAAATAAATGATAAATGATGACGGGTATTTAGCTGTAACGAAATAAAGATAAAGGCTCTGTGGGATTTGTTTTATCACTTCTCTTTACAATAAGGCGATATTGAAGCTGAACAATAAAAGAATAATGCCAGCATTAGCCTGTATACTCTGACTACATTATGATTTTATGGTCTTATTAATATTTAGTTATAATTTGAAATTCTTTACTCATCGTGACTTAAATATGCTGCTAAATGCGTTCACTAACGCCTCCGCAGAATGTGACCACGTGAAAGCTTGACAGTGTAGCACAATGTTGTGTCTTTCGAAGTTTGAGTCAATAAAGTGTGCTGTTAAGCTTAGCAGGGACATTGGACAGGTGTCTGCACTCCATATAATCACAGGTTGTTCATAGAGGCAAATTAGTTTCATAATTCTGAACGCGATGTCTTTCCACCTTGGTACTATCCCTGCTGTATGGTTTACGTCTTCCATCACTCACAGTCGGCTGGTTGAGAGATTCTCATAAGCGGCATATTTAGTTGTATGGCATGTTCTAAGATGCCTAATCATGTTAGTGCTGTTAAAATGCCGTTGCTTGCTCAAGGGGTTTTATCACAACATACATTGTAAACGGCTAACTTTACGTCTTTATTGGACACTTTGAAAAAGACGGGGGAACTCATGTTGCAACTGATAAGCTCCTCTCTGCTGGTGTTTATCCGTGCGCCGTGCATGCAAGTGTGAAAAAGTTGTGCGAGTAATTTACGTCAGGTCATCGGCTTTTTTGATCCGCGCTTTTGGGGTTAGCTGATCAAGCTATTTTTAGCCAAAATCGGCCGATCGTAATCGGCGGCCGATCAATCGGAGCATCATTAAAGGGTCACGAAACACCAAAACACATTTTTTGAGCTGTTGACAGTCATATATGTGTCCCACACTGCTAAAAACACTATTAGGACACCTATATTTCCCTAAAAAGTGTAAATTTGTTGTTTTTGCGTTATTTCAAGCAAATTCGTACTTCCGGTTTGAAACTAATTATTGAAGCTGCGTCACGGTCATGACATAATAGCGTTGTATTCCAGCGTGCAGACTGGACTTCTGTGCCAGAGTGTGTCTTATTACGTCTTACAGTGTCATGCATTAATGCATGAGTAAGGCTTGATTTAAACCAATCAGCGTGCTCTATTGTGCAACTTCATTAATATTCATTACTGTCATAGTGTTTATACGACAGAGACGCCACGTTGTGTTGGCAAAACAAGCGTGAAGTGTTGCTTTTAGAGTTTGCTGCCATTAAGTTTTGTTTTCATTTTCTCTCTGTGAGAGTGCAGCTGGCGTCACGTGTGGATTAACAGTGTACGCGACGCTCGACAACAATAACTTACGTGTCAAAGGAGGATTATTGTTTACCTGAGAGCTGTTCTCATCTGCAAACGCTGAGATCCGGATTCGCTTGTAGTCTCCTCTTAATAAAGACGCTCTAGTTGCTGGTGATTGTCCTGTCTCTACAGATTTGGTAAGTGAGCAACCAGTGCTCTTTGTTTATTCAGTTCGTATTTTATTCGTATCAAACAAACTATTGCACCGAGTGCAAACAAGTTAGCACTACAACCAAACCTTGTGTAGGATTTTGTGATCGGAATAACACACGCGGCTTTCTGACGCTACCTGCCGTGTGCATCTAAGTTTCCGGGAAATGCTGAGTTTTTTTTCTCTCATTCGCCGTGCGGTATCAAACATTGCATGAAAATACACGCTTAGAGCTGTTCCTCGAATCAAATATCACGTTTGTCGCGAGGGACATGTATGAATTCCCTGAATGAAAGAGCCAAACTGCAGTTAAAGTCCACCATTTAATAATTTGGCAAATAATTCGACTACAAATGTCCATGTAAACACAGTCACTTTGTCCGCTGTGGTTGTTTTGACTCTGAAATTCAGCGCGGCCAAATAGACACTCCCACACCAAGCCTCTTTTCTTTCTCCGACACTCCCCCCTAAACAGAGCTGAACACGCCCACTTTTCTGACTTTTTCCAAAGTAGAGGTGTGAAAACACCCTGCTGAAACGAGGGGGTTTCATGGCCCTTTAAAACATATCATCCTAAACTATATAAAGAGTTCATAATTTCTAGTAAGCCATTTTCCCCATGTTCTATTAAAATAAATTGACAACTGTGTGGAAATAAAACTGACATGCATTTTCTTCAGATAAGAAAAGAAAACACCAATTCAGTGGTCTGACCTCTAACAGTCGTCCAGTCTGCATAGACCACAGAAAGATCTCAAAAGAGTCCTGAGAACCAGCACACACCAATTCCCCACTACCGTCCACTGCCAGAGAGGAGAACTGGGCGGGTCGTGGTGACGTCATGGTACGGAAATTCCGGTACCTGAGAAAAAACTTTGGTCATGCAGGATATGCACTGGAAATTTTAAATTGCCATTTGTTTTTTTTTTTTTATTCACACACCAAAATATTTAAGTTATGCCACACCTAAAAGTAAGATAAATAACCTAGAGACAAGCAAGTTATTGATTTAGTTCACTTAAAAGCAAAAATCATATTATTTGAAAAAACAATTAATAGCAACTGAAGATTATTTTTTGCCTTTTCAGGAAAACAACATTCCTAAGCCCAAAAAGCAAATACTGCTTGGTGCTTTAGTTAGATACCTGTGCAGGTCAAAAGCTCTAACAGTGCCATCTAGTGAGGCACTGACCACCACGAAACCACTGGAGGTAAAGGCAACTTCGGTGACACCGCTGGAGTGCTCGGTGAATGTCACAAAACAGAGACCACTGTTGGTGTTCCACACCTTCACCTGGAAAGCAACCGTTTTACTTGGGGAGGACAACCACACTAGAATTTTTGGTCTGCAATGCATCTAGGTTCATTTGATTTCATAGACTAGTCTGTATCAATTATGTGAACAATGTTTTCTAAATGTCCCACATACTGCGAAAGTGTACCCAAATCAGTAAAAATGCACAAATACACACATACGGTAGAGACATCTACTTGTATGGAAAAGAAAAAAAAAAACACATGAATCAAACTCTTCTTGGTTTCTTCATGAAACTAAGCAACTTGACTAAGTGTGAGAATGTGCACCCTAAGCATCAAAAAAATGTATTTATTTCCTTAATAAAATTATAGAGTTAGAGGACTCACCTTGCCATCATCCCCTCCAGTAGCAAGATACTGACCATCAGGTGAATAAGCCAAAGAGTTCATGTTGTTAAAGTGTCCTTGCTGTTTAAACACATAGGACTCGCTCTGCCATTCCCAAACCAACAGCTGGCCCAGACCTAACACAGGACAGAAGCAAAGAATTAAGAAACAGTATAAAACAGTACTCTGAGGGGAAAAAAAACTTTGAGATCAACACCTGAGCAGCCAAAGCTAATCCAGTCACCAGTGGGATTCAGAGAAATGGCCGAAATCCTCTGATCTGAAATGCTAAACATGATATTCATTAAACAGCATAGAAATACAGCCACAGCATTATAGCAACAAATAACAAAAGGTCAAGAGACTTAATTAAATAAGAACTGGGTCATTTGTGTCAATTCAACCAAAGGTGTACAGCTCAAATATAAGATATTTATCATTTTTAATTGGTAGCAAGAACACAAATGAATAAAAAACCTAAATATTAAATGGCATAAATGTATATTTAGAGAGTAAATCTACAGTTTTTTTTTTAGATGGAGGTCAAAATACTTCTTATTTTGTATTTAGGATTGAGACATTATTGTTCATGTGATAAAATATAGGTAGATGTCTTGTATTGACATTTGTTATTAAGTTAATGTATAATGTTATTATTACATATCAGCTATGTGGTCTGAAGGATGATGCCATGAAAGAAGTATTTTTTTTTTGAAAGGTATGAATGTTTTTAAACTATTTTAGTTATGCAACGCTTATGTAGATTGTTCTTTTACAAATGGGCAATATGCATGAAAGTGTCGTTCAACTACTGAAAACATCTTGCAAAAGAATTTCATAAGGTACCTTTTATGTCAACGATAATTTAATTTAATTAAAATATAGTCAGCTAAAAAGACCTAAGCCTTCATTTATTTGTTTAAGTGTAAAACAAGATAAAAGGCTCTTTAAACAAGCTCTGTGAGGAGCAGTGAGCAGCCAAAACAATAGTGTCACTTGTTGTCCTAAATGTAAAAAGATGACAAGGTATTTCTGTTATAGAACTTTTTAAAAAATTTTTTATTTAGTTGAAAACAAAACACAAGTAAATAACAAGCCTGATTTACAGAGGTACAGTTGGTTTTATATTTGCACATTTGTTCTTTTTTGAACAGTGATCACTTCTGACACACTTCCTATGTTCTTTACCACTTTCAATATTCGGTCTGAAATAGTATGCAAGTATGACTTAAAAACAACATTAAAACTATTTAATTGACTCTGAAAAATGGTGTACTTTTTTAAATAGCTGTTGGCTGCTAATACAATTTACCTATTTAAATTTTGCAAACAATACTTTTCTAAAATTATATTATTAGGAGAAAATAGTAATGTGTGAATATAAAACCAACTTTACCCCAATGCCAGCTTTGGGAGAACTGGCAGAAATAAATATTATTCCTGCACCCCACTGGCCTGTGCCAAGCACTACACTTATGTTGGACAAAGCTTATGTTTCCATAAAGACGTCAGCAATGACCAGCAATATCTGCATGCATGAAATATTGTATATTATGACAAATTTTGCTTGCTAAACTACTGAAAATGAGCTAGACGTAATAGAGGATTTCAAAAAGGTTTTTAAGTTAGGAATTATACTATAAAGTTTTCTAACTATAAAATGACATGATGTAGTGTTATAAATTTTCAAATGCTATTATGCTATGGTTGGCTTTAATCCAGATCTCCTACTGCACCTTTAACCATTCAAATCAGCCGTTTCTGGCAGGGGCATTTTCAGTTAAGCTTTATCTTATTATCATTGAATTGGTTTAGACCATTAGGATCTCACTTTAAAATGACCAAAGAGTTTCAATAATTTTCCTATTTAAGCTTGACTCTCCTAATAGAAAAGGTTGCTTTGTTGGTAGTGGAGCGTACATCTCATATCTCCATGGTGGCAAATAAAATCCCTCCTGTAATTGGGATATAAATCCTTTGTGAAAACCTATTATTTTGATGTTGAAAATATTGATTATTCATTAAATATCAGTGCCTTTCTTTTACCGAAGTAAACATGATAAAAATAATATTTGCAAAAAATTCTTTTAAATGATTTATTACATATGAAGAATTATATATTTCCATTGAGTTGTGTTTGTGAGCTTCATTTAATAACTGTTTGAATAGCAAAGACTGATTTATGAAAAAACTATACTTTCAATGAATAACTAAAATCTCTTTATACCTCCTCAAGGGAGTTGATGAAAATGAAAGTTTACTTGCATTTATTCAGAGAAGATTTAAGGAAATTATTTAAATTCAGCAAAACTACTTTGAAATAAAAGTTTGATATGCTTTGATGGGCATTATAATTTAAATATGCCCAATAAAAGAATCAAATTGAATTGACATCTAAAAATGGACACCATCCCTACTGCAGTTATTTAACAAATACAGTATTCAATTATAATGTAGGGCAAACCTGAGTGAGTGAATGAGGTCAAAACCTGGCAATTCATGCAGGTGAAAAGCTCCAGATGCAAACCCTGTCACAAGTATGTGTGTTCTCTTGTGAAAGGCGGCAGCTGTCAGTTTGTTGAAATCCCCTTCTTTGTTAAAATAGTATCTGTTTAAATACAAAATTAGAAACATATATTTGAATATAATTTTAACATGTTTTATAACCAGTCTAATGGCTTGTTCACACCAACAGGGATATTTGGTACAAAAAAATGTCTGAATTTTCTGTTCCAAAAACTTATGAATAATATGGAAATAATTATGGATGCATCTAATATTCGGCCAAAAGTGGACCCAAAAAAAAAAAGGGCCAAAAGTGCATTTTCAGTTTTCGCCTGAATGATTTGTATCATTGAAACAGCACAGCTGAAACAGTATGTTGTGACGACCACACAGAAACCACGGCTTGCACATATTAATGTGAAGCAACATGTCTGTGGTGTGCCTATTCATTCGGAACCTCTGCACTTCATCGCGATTGTTCTTGCTCCATGATAAAATTATCAGAATCAATTTTATTGCCAAGTGTGCTTCACACACAAGAAATTTGTTTTGGGTACAGAAGCTTTCAGGGTGCATAAAGTGACAAGTGACAACAAGGAAATAAGTATGAAAATGAATAAACATTAAACAGAGATGTAGTTAGTCAAAAAGATCTGGATGTTGAATTGTATGTACAGATTTGTTGTATACAGGTTATAAGGTGCTGTTTACAAATGCAGTAGGGGAATATTAACTGTTCATGAGGTTGATGGCCTGAGGAAAGAAACGTTTTCTGTGTCAGGCTGTTTTTGTACTTGGTGCTCTGTAGCGCCGACCACACAGTAACAGTTCAAACAGGAAGTGTACTGGGTACGAGGTGTCCAGAGTGATTTTGTGAGCTCTTTTTCTCACTTTGGAAAAGTACAGTTTTTATAGTGTAGGAAGGGTGGTGCCAGTGATTTGTTTAGCAGACCGGACTATTCGCTGTAGCCTATGGAGATCACTTTTGGCAACTGCGCTGAACCAGGCGGTGATTGAAGTGCAGAGGATGCATTGGATGACAGCTGAGCAGAACTGTACGAGCAGCTCCTGTGGCAGGTTGAACTTCCTCAGCTGACGAAGGAAGAACAGTCTCTACTGGGTTTTCTTTACAATAATCTATTTGAATGTCCCACTTCAGATCCTGAGAGATGATGGTGCTCAGGAATAGAGCTGCACAATTAATCGTTAAAAGATCGCAATCTCGATTCGACCCCTCTAGACGATCTTAATCCAGCTTTTCTAGGATTCCGCCAATCATATTTTCAAGTTAAGAAGAGAAGAAAAGGCGGCTGCACGAGTCTTTTCATTGTTTCACACACGTTGCTGCTCAGTGACATTGACACCTCCAAATGATGTTGAATGAGTCACATACTGTATTTATAAGGTATAATTCACCTTAAAATGTCATTTCTGTCTTCATATAATGATGTTTTCGCGGCTGGGAAATCACACGTAACGTGAGCTGCTGACCGTGAGCGCGCGCGCTTTCTACTTAATGATAGACGCGCGCGCGTTTATTTAAGTGATCAGAACCTGCATATGTTGCGAGTAATAGGTAATACAGTTGTAAATAATATTCAGTTTGTGGCACAGAGTGATTGTTTGGGAGCCGCGCGCGAAGTATGAACAGCACTTAGCAGTCAAAATGAAACTGAAAGTGTGCACTTCATTTAAATGATCATATCGCATTTTAGAGTTATGATTACGGCAAGCATTTGATATTTTTTTCTTTTATAGCGAACACACAGTTGTGCATGAAAATAAATGTTTAGTTTCAGTATAACTACTCTAGCCTATATATTGTTGAATATAATCTGATAATGGCAAATGTCTGTATTAAAAATAAAAATAAATTTTACCTGTGAATAAAATTGTCTAATATGACAGATTGCAAGCATATCTTAAACATAATAATTCAACATCAGAATTATTATAAGTAGAATAGAATTATTTATAGAAACCAGTAGACCTACACACAATATTATTATCGATGTTGCCTTATGTTTGTTTTTACCATACCTTTATTTTACATCTACAGAATCATGAGAGAATCGTGATCTTTATTTTAACAAAAAATAAATAAAAAATACCTTATTTGGGTTCAAAAAATACGTACACGAAATGTTGCCCACAGTCAGAGCAAACCTCTCATCTGTTTCTTTAATCTTCAGCAGCACATGTAACCTCTTGTTAGAAAGTAATTCCATCTTTCCGAATTCATAAGGTGTTGATAATAGTTAAATATGGCAGTTCGTTTCCATTTTAGGTTGCAGAAGCATCATTTGCTGCTGTTTTTTTTTGTCTAAATCCACCTTATGGTACCCTTTGGGCCTGTTGGTACCCATTGCAAAGGGTGATCAAAAAGTGGTATGGTACGGTTCACTTTTAGGTACCCTTTGAAAGTGGAAACAGCCATAAAAGCATACTGTACCACTCAGTGGAAACGGGCTATTAAAGGTGACTGCTCGCATGGCACATTTTCTAAGCATATCTTGTTCACAGGTTTTACCTCTGCTGAATATTATTAGTTGTATTGAAGCACCATTAATATAAATTTATATCAAACTCTTCAGTATAATTTAAAAATATACAGACAAGTATGTTGAAGAATGTTGTAGATTGAATTTTGAAAGAGGGGTCGCCAGAAGTAGGGCTGAGGACCTCTGACCTAGAAAATTCTAATATCTTTTCAAAAAGGCTTCAGAAACTTTCCATTTTAAATAATTGGGAAAAATTAAGCCCTGATAAAAAAAAAAAATTAAAAAAGGAAAGTTGCACATTTTTGCCGCAAATATTTACCATGGTGTGAACAAATCTTGAGAACAGATCCATAGATTGAAGAGATTAGGATAAATCAAAACATACTCACTTGCTTTTCTGTAAATAACGAACATTTTTTATGCCTTCCACTTCTTCAGGTGTTTCGGCACTTCCTTTGATGACATCTCCTCTGGTCTCTCCATCCTCCCCCATAATCTCAATGTCATTAGCTTCATCTTCCTCCATTTCTAAAACTCTCAGTTTTTTCTGCTCCTTTTCCTTTCTCTCAGCGTATTTTGGGCCCTTTCGTAAGCCTTCTAGATCAGTGTCACTTTCCCATATACATAAAGTGCCTTCCTGACTTACTGTGTACATCTGTAAAAAAAAAAAAAAAAAAAAAATGAAAAGCAGTTGAAAGATACCATAATAAAATACAGAAATGGCAACAGGGGACTAAGACAATTAACATTACTGCTAGGGCTGCACGAGCACGATTATTAGAAAAATGATCGCGAACTTGATTCGACCCTACACATAATCTTAATTCGACTTTTTTAGGATACAGCCAATTATATTTTCACAGTCAGGAGAAAGGCAGTCGCACAAGTCTTCACATTGTTTGATAAATGTTGCTCAGCAACAAGGTCACCTCCAACTGGTGTTGAAAGTGTCACATACTGTATTTATGAGGTATAATTCACGTAAAATGTAATTTCTGTCGTCATGTAATGACATTTTCGCAGCCGCGAAATCACATGTCAGCTGTGAATCACACGCACTTTTTGTTTACTACCATGAGGACGCGCACCCTCTTGCCAATGTCTGCTTTAGTGAACAGAACCTGAAAAGGCTGTGAATAACAGGTAATAAAGTTGCAAATAATGTATAGTTTGTTGCAAACTGACTTCAAAGTGACGGCAGCCATGACGTGAGTCACACCCGGCAGCGTAAGTGAAACCAAAACCGTGCACATCATTTAAATGATCATATCACATTATAGATGGTTATGATTACGATTATGATTTTTCTTTCATCACAAACACAAAGTGTGGTGCATGAAAATAAATGTTTACAGGGTCAGTATAACTACTCTAGCCTATATAATGTTGAATATGATGCAAGCGAGAATCTGATAATGACAAATGACGAGCATATGTCTCAAACATAATAATTTAACTTAAGAATTATGAATTATTATATTCTGATGTCATCACTTGTAAGTCAACAACCAAGACGTATTTAAAGTCATTCCAAGTCTATACAAAATTTAGCATTTTAACCAGCAGAACTACACATAGGCCTAATATTATTATTTCAGTTTTACCATATGTTTTAGAAATAAAAGTGATAATAGCCTACTCATATTAACCTTTATTTTACATCTACAAAATCTTGAGAAAAAAAATCTTGATAATCATTTTAGCCAGAATTGTGCTGTCCTAATTGCTACAATGATGGTGTTCCATTCTCATTTGGTCAAAACACTACTTTTTACATGTGCCTTCAAATTATTACTTGAATTAAGCTTGAATTACTTGAATTTCGTTTCTTAAGACTTATATTAGTGGTTCCCAACTGCCGTTCTGGATATGGACTGCCATTAACATTTTGTACGTCTTATTTAAAACACTTTATTCAGATCATCAGGTTGTTGACAAAACTTAATAAACTAGACTTTGTGTGTTAGATAAGACATCAGTGGCTTCCAAGGACTGACCAACATGATGGAAGTGACTGATCATTTGTTAAAGAGTATTTAATTTCTGAAACATCATGTGACCTGAAGACTTTAGCACAAACATAATAAATACTTTACAAATTAATAAAATACTAAACTAGATTCAATAACAAAACAAAAATAAAAATATTATATAAATTAAAATAAAATAACTATACAGTTTTTTTCTGCATATGATCATAAAACATGACAATAAAATACTGAGGTGGCAACAGGTCATCTGTGATTTCTGAAACCATAATGTCAACATCAGTACTTCCAGCGGTATGTTTGATTGGATTCATGTCGAGTGAATCTGAAGGGCACAGCATTACCAAAAATATATCTGCATGTTCCAGGCATGTGATCAGCCGAGGACAAAAAAAGAAGGAAGACGATGATTGATATATATATATATATAAGCTCTGTCAAAATTAGTATGCGCATGCGATTAATTTGAAATAATTAACGCAGTTGCAATTTTTTTATTACCTGTTGTGGTCGACATCTGTTTAACATGCAAAACATATGGATGAGGCCAAGGAAGCTCTTTTTGAAGGCAAGATTCAGTTTAAAATAATTAATGTCGCATCACCAGGATCTGCAGAGTTTTCTCCAGAGTTTTATGCAATTTCAGGTGTTTTATTTTTAACTTTCGACTTTTTCTTTTAACGGAATTTGATACCGCATGGCGAACGGAAAGAAAAACCTCCGCATTTCGTGACTCGGTGGTCCTTTAAGAATATCAAAAATCGCTGCTTACATGGTAGACTCTAAATAAGAGTATTATCTTAAGCATATTAAAATCGGAGTATTGGTGTCTTATGTAAATGTACTCAGAAAGTGACATGATGTCGCGAGCTGTCAAAGACATCATCAAATCTGCCTTTCTGCATGAGCCCTCAAATGTGTCATTAAGTTTGACGTGTTTCCCCCTTACACGCAAGCGTCTGCTTCGCGTTGTTTTGTCAGAATCCTTGTGAAATACAGCCATACTTTAGAATGCTTAGTTTAAGCAAATTTGATGAACGCGATCATGCGTGTTAAATCTGAAGGGAGTCGCTCCGTCTGCCCTGTCCTGCACGCTGTGTGTGTGTGTGTGTGTGTGTGCACGCGTGAGCGTACTTGTGTCTTAGCAACAAACCTGCATAAACGTCCGTAGCCACTAAATCAAAACGTTAGGACTTGCCTTGAGATTGTGTTGCACTCTCAGCTCACATCATTCAAAAGAAAAGGGCCACATTGTCCCCCGATAATGTCAACAGACTGGACTGTCGTAGTAACTGACTGAATGTAAGAGGACTGAATAAAATTGTTTCTATTTTATAATTAATGTTCTCAATTCACAGCAATACAACTTTACAATGAGTGCAATTGTTTGTATTCAATACTTTACTGTTATTATAATTTTCCATTTTCCATATCTGCAATGCCTGTATTTTGGCAATTTTTTGCAGTCCACTTAGAATCCAAGTTGGAAATATAATTTTTTTCTTTATTGGCATTTATTGTTTTGAAATTCAAATGGCATTAACATGCCTGTGTTTTTATTTCTGTAATAAATATGGCTGTCAAGCCAGGATCCTAATGGTTTATTGTGGGTATGTTGTTTACATGAAGAAATTAGTGTTACAAGTTAAACAAATGTTCCAATTAACAATTTAATTTTGAAATTAAATAGTTTTTGTCTTGCGTTTACATTAATTTTACATGCCAAAATTCCAAATTTCAGTCTTTTAAATATGATTAATTGCGATTAATTTTCAAAAAAAAGTGCAATTAATTAGTTAATATTTTTAATTTATTGACAGCACTAATATATATATTTTAGGGTGTGCGGAGCAGCCGGTATTTGTATTTGTATTTGTTGAGGGGAGAAAAGTATTAGTATTTGTATTTGTATTCGAGTAAAATTCAAAATGGCGCAAAAATATATATTTTTTCTATTACACTTCTAATTTACGTTATAGTGAAAGTATTGTTTAATTATACCCATTATATAAATTATAGATACTGTATGCAATATTGGTTGTTGTTTTTGAACATGTGACAAGAAATGTCATTGAAAAGAAAATAACATAGAAGCCATTATCTCATCTATGGTTAAACCAACAACTAATAAAATACCATTGTGAATATTATAAACCCCACCACCACCGTTCTTGTTGAAGGACACTGAATAGACAGAATAAAAATAAAAAATACTTAGAAAAACTGTTCTTCTTCTGAAAGGACTTCTTTCCAATGGACAGAATTCCAAAAACTAATATTAACTAAATAAATCTAAATAAAACCTGCCTGGGAGATCTGGCAGAACAAAAGTATTCTATATAATACTAAAAGATACAGCCCTGCTATTGTCATCTGCCAGCCACAAAACAGACACAAAGTTTGTTTGTTTTTTTTGTTTTTTTTTTTGTTTAAAACTGACTTGCTGGGGCAGAATGTGGCTGTGTTGATGGTTTGGTGCTTGTGGAGGATTTAGTAGAGCATAGCTGTGCTGATTGAGGGGATTGATGCTTGTGGGGGGTTCACAGACAGTATCAGGAGAGGATGCTTTTAGTGCATGTGATAATACATTACATAGAAGGTTGCGCGGTGGCACAGTGAGTAGCACTGTCGCCTGACAGCAAGAAGGTTGCTAGTTCGAGCCCTGACTGGGTTCTCCCCATGTTAGCGTGGGTTTCCTCCGGGTGCTCCGGTTTCCCCCACAGTCCAAACACATGCAATACAGGTGAATTGGGTAAGCTAAATTGTCCTTATTGTATGTGTGTGAAAGAGAGTGTATGGATGTTTCCCAGTGCTGGGCAGCAGCTGGAAGGGCAGCCACTGCGTAAAACATATGCTGGATAAGTTGGTGGTTCATTCCACTGTGGCAACCCCAGATTGATAAAGGGATTTAGCCGAAAAGAAATGAATGAATGATTATGGATAGAAGATGTTGACAGATGTTTAAAATCTCTGCCTCTGCTGATTTCACTTTTGTAAACATTATACAGTATCACTTTGTTTTATCTGCAGCACCACTGACTGTAAAATGCTTCCACACAGAACCTGAAGGTTTTTTTTTCTTTTGACTGGTGAAAGACCAAGAAATGGCTCAGCAGTAGTCTTTTTCACTCTTTTTCTGGGTGCCCAAATGTATTTGAGGAGTTTCAAGTTAATAAAAAGTGACGGAAAGCTATGCTAAGGTTAACTAGCCTATAGCATATATCTTGCTGTCTGCAAAAGACAGTAATTTAGACGTACCATATAGCTCCCATAAGTGCATACTATTCGACACAACTGCACAAGCATCGTTTTAACCTTTATAAACGAACGTTAACGTTACTTTGTCAACAGTCTATTGTCTAAATTACCGCGCTAACAGAGCTAACGTTGCGTAAACAGTGCAACCGGTTGCAGACGTCAATAATGTAATAGAATATCAAACTCCGCTTCAACTACGCTACAAGTTTATAAACTGCCTTTGGAACCCAATTAAGGTACAAAAATCTATTTAACAAAAATAGTGATGCAGTGAAGTATATTTTTCACTCAGCCGAGCCTTCTGTCTGTTGCTGTTTAGAAGCTTGCTCCTGACACCTTTTATCTCCGCCCCGCCCCCCGACTACTGAGCTACTCTCTTTCTCACTCACTCACTCACTCACTCACTCAC